GTTGAGAGTACCATCATCTTTCTATTTGTCCAAGTTCTAAGCCTATCACTGTCCTCCTCAACTCCTCACTCTCACTACCCACATATCCAGACACTTGCCAAATCATGTTGTGTCTGTCTTCACATTGTTCATGTGTCTCTTTCTTTCCACTCACAGAGCTTCCATCCTTCTTCAGGCCCTCATCATCTCTCACCTTGAGAATTGGAATGGACACCTATCAGTTCCCTCAACCTTAAGTCTCTCCCCCTTCCAATACAACCACCAAAGTGATTTTCATAAAATAAAGATCTGAATATATCACACTTCTACTCCATAAATTCTAGTGATTCACAATTAACTCTAGGATCAAATATACACTCTTCTATTTGTTATGGGGAGTTGATCTTTGACCAGTCTCCCAAATCAGAAGGCCTATCAATGAAGTACTTAATTGTAAAGATGTATGAACATCTTTCTCTTACAGAACTAAAGAGAGCTATTACATTGGCTGAGCAAAAATTAGACATGTGTTCACAGGACTTTAATTGGCTAACACCTAGAGATGGCAGTTCAGTTCAAGGGCATCAATGCTTGGAAATACATTATGAAGAAGACTTGCAGGGAGGGAAAAGGTGACTGCTCTTTTCACTACCATCCCCATCAGTCATTGCATCTAACAGTGACTTGCCCAGGAAATATCCCATACAGCATTCTGAGAGTCCTTTGGTTTGAGAGAGTTTGAAGCATAATTGAGAAAGTAGAGATACACTTTCAGATAGATATAGATAACCCTAAGCAAGTCACTTAACCCGGATTGCTTCCAGAAAAAAAAAAAACAACAAGCAAACAGATAGATATGGTTATATAGAGATAGTCATTCGAGAGAGGTATCAGTTTTGAGGGATGGGACCCCTGACAGCAAACAAGAGAGCTGCCTATGGAGAGGTGGCTGGGGCATAATATAAGTGACTCAATGTGAGGGTGGGCTGGAAAGTCAGGCAGGGGTGGTGGCACAAAGATACCTTCTAGAAAAGGCTATGGACAGGGGCAGCTAGGTGGTGCAGTGGATAGAGTTCCAGCCTTGGAGTCAAGAGGACCTAAGTTCAAATCCAGCCTCAGACACTTGACATTTACTAGCTGTGTGACCCTGGGGCAGTCACTTAACCCCAATTGCCTCACCAAAAGAAAAAAAACAGGCAAAAAAGAAAGAAAGAAAGAAAGAAAGGTCTATGGACAGTGAGGTGGGAAGAGAATTGGATTTACAATGTAGAAAAGGTTTCTCTTCACTGTTCCTCTAACATTAGCAACCCTGTGTTCCTGGCCCTCCCCTCCACAGGCTATACCTTCTTCACCACTAAGACACACTGATCCTGATGAAACAGTTGGGATACTCCTCTGCTCCCCACTGCCATTTCTAGACTCTCCCTTTCCCACTTACATTTTTTCCTATTTCTTTCCATAATGCCACCAATCTCCCAATTCCCTAGGCTAGAAATCTCTAAGTGATCTATTAACCTTCTCTTTTCCTTCTCCATCCCCACAGTCCTTGCAAAGGAATCCTCCAATGGTGTACATGGACAAAAAAATATTCTGACAGTCTGTCACCATTCAACAAATATTTAGTTCCTGTGATATGCTGAGAGCCTTGTAGAGAGAGGATATGTAACCCTAGGCCAAGCTCAGAATGGTTCCCTGAAAACTACACCAAGGTTCAAGATGCTCTTTGGGAAACAGACAATTCCCCAGAAACACACAATAGCACAAAGTCCAAAAGATTCCCGATAAGTGGGAGAAAAAATGTGTAGCTAATTCAATTTCATTTCCCACCTGGCTGCTCTCCTGGACTTCATGATTTCCAGAAACTCCTCATCATGAAAGATGAAATCTACTCACATCTCCTCAAACCATTTTCCACCCCAGCTGCAGGACTTCCTCATTCTTCTTTGTGGAGTATCCTTTCCTCTTACCAGTCAGCTACTTTTTATGTGTTGTATACCTCATTAATAATAATAATAATAACAATAATAATAATAATAATAAACATTTATATAGTACTTACTGCGTGCCAGGTACTGTCCTAAGCACTTCACAGTTATTATCTCATTCGATTCTCACAACGACCCTGGGAGGTAGGTGCTATTATTATCCCCAGTTTACCAATGAGTAAAGTTCATTTGACAAACAGAGGTTAGGTGACTTGCCCAGGGTCACACAGCTCTAAATAAGTGTCTGCATGTCTTCCTGACTCCAAGTCTAGCTCTCTGTCCACCGCACAACTCAAGTGCCACCTTCAAGAAGACTGCATTAGATTGTAAGCTCCATGAAGGTAGGGACTCTTTCTTTGTATCCCCAGTGCTTAGTCCAGCGCTTGCTTGGCCCATAGGAGGCTCTTAATAAATGCTTATTGTCTGAAATTCTGATTCATGCTCCTATGGTGATGTTTCAGCCTGCAAAGCTCCCGCCCCCGAGTGATAAGCCTCTGTTTATGCGCCCTCACTGAGCTGCTTTCTCTCTCACCTGTTTCTGCACTGTTACTGCCATCTGCTGTTTACCGGGGAGCTGCCAATTGCCATTGGCTGTTTCTCCACTCCACCTCTGCAGCAATATGCTGTTTCTCTCCTGAGTTTCCACTGCCTAAATGCTGCTTCTCCACTGAATTGCAGCTATTGGGCATCCTTAATCTATCAACAAGTATTTTGGATAGCTGTTTATTAGGAAGTCAGTCCCTCCTTATGCCGAACTAAGATCTCCCTCTCTGTAATTTCCACCGGGGAGCTAACCAGAATAAATGTAATCTTTCTTCCCTTATGATATCACTTCAAATATCTGAAGATAGTGATCCCGCCCCCATCCCTACGCCTGCCTCTTTATCTATTCTTCCTCCGGAGACTCTGCAGTTTATCAATTCCCTTCCTAAAATAGGATGCCCCACACTGGACGTGACACTAGACCAGGCAGATTAAGCAGGACTATAATCTTCCTATTTCTGCACATTTTACTTCCATTAATGCAACCTTAAATGGCATGGGGGGGGGGAGGGGGGAGGAGCTGCTCTACAACAATGATGACTTATGTTTGCACCAAGATGATCGAGGCCTTTTCACATGAAAAGCTGCCTAGCCAGGTCGCCTTGATCCTGTCGTGACTTTCTCCATGAAACCTTCATAAAGGACTCTAAGCCCTTGGATTTCTATCTCTCTTTTCTGAATAGATGTGTAGCACTTACTGGCTATACCTCTAATTCTGTTATTATACTATGCAACCTCAGATTGTAGTAATATAACCATCATGGGACCTTTGGGAGGCTGGGATCCAGAATAAAAATTGGGCAGAGATGTAGCAATCTTACAAGAAAATTAATGGTGTAGGTTGCAATTAAGTGGAGCAAGGATATATATGTTGAGCATATCATAGGAACAAGGCAATACATAAAATGAATATATATAGATAACTTTTTTTTTACTATTTTAGCAAAGTATAATTACTTTGATTTTTTTATTTAATCCAGAAGTAATTTTACTATTTACAGAGATATTCTTCTTCTTGTTCTCATACCCTGTGAATATATATATGGTTTATTTCATTTATCATGTGTTATTTTATTTATTAAAATGTTATTTTCTTATTGGAATTATTGTAATGTGGTGATGTTTGAGTATTTGCTTTTTAAAATATTAAGTGAATATATTCAAATTATCTTTATAGTTCTGTTTCCTCAACTAGATTATAAACACTCTGAAGACAGGGTACTATGCTTCCTGAATTCCTATATTTCCCTGAATCTCTTGGCACCTGGCTCAACCCTCAGCACAATGCCCTTGGTAATTTTTTTCATTTTAATAATGAATAACCTTGATTTGAGAATCCAATAAATTTCTCTTCACATCAAAACTGTTACAGTAAATGGGTTTCATTGCCAATGCAAAACACAAGGAACCCAGGAATATCTAGGGGAACAAGTTTGGCTTTTCTTGAATTGATATGAAAAGTGAATAAAGTATCATATTTAATCAGTAATAACTTTTCTTGGATTGATGTGAAAAGTGAATAAGGTATTATGCCTAATCAATAATTAACAATGCCCTGAAAAAGTCAAGCTTACGTATATAAAAATGTCTTTCAACTGAGCCTACAATGCAAGCCATTCAGAGTACAAGGATGGAGGCTATACTAATTGTATTTTTAAAAAATGGGCTGAGGAAAAATACAAAAGATTGGTGGTCATCACAGAAGTAGCCAAAACTGTTATCAGAGGCTGAATCTCTTCTCTTGTGGAATTGTAAAGGGATTCTTTAGCTGGTCAGAACATTTAGACGTAGAAGACACCTAAAGTATCTAACCCCATGGAGGCATTTTACAAATTACGCAGAGACCCGCAGTCACTTTCCCTCAGTCATAAACAATAATAATAAACAATGGGCCTGAACTTTTGATTCCAAATCTGGTTAGCCTGGTTGATATCAACCACAGGCATTTATTAAATCCTTTACTGGAGCTACCACTACGTGGAGGCATGTTCTTGAATAAGTAAATACAGGTGCTATATACAAGGTGAGGGGCTGGGCACTAACAACTGGGAAAATCAGGAAAGGCTTCTTGAAAGTGACACTTGAGCTGAGCCTTGAAGGGGTTTGCAACAGGTGACCAAGAGTGAGGAGCAAGAATAATATTAATAATAGCTATCATTCACATAAGCACTTTTAAGGTTTTCAAAGCATTTTAGAAATTTTCTCTCATTTGGTCCTCATAACAACCCCAGGAGGCAGGTGCAATTATCATCCCATTTTACAGATGAGGAAGCAACTTGCAAGGGTCACCCAGTTAAGTGTCTGAAGCGGGATTCGAACTTGAGTGCCCCTGACCAGGCACACAATACACCATCTGGTCTAGACCAGCTCAAAAGGCAGAGGATGGAGGCCAGGCGAGGAAGAAGGAGAATTTCACAAATTAATAGCGCCACCCAGCCTCCAGACGCTCCGCTTCGGGTCACGTGCATGATATCGCTCCGCCCCCGCGGAGAAGGGAACGCCGAAAGGCCTCAATCTACGTGGACCGCCGGGCTCTCGGGGTCCACCGCATTGCGTGGCGCTGCTTTCCTTTCCCTGGACTGAGGTTCGGGGGCGGGGAAGGAGGGGAGGAGCTAAGCGCGGGTTTTGCACGCTCCGTCCTCGCGGGCGGATTGGGCGGGGGAGAGGGGGGGCAGCGCTCGAGGAGGCTGAGCTGCTTCCTACTTCCGGCGGGCGCGTGGACTGGCGGTTGGAGGCCGCGGGGCATTTCCCTCCCCGTGGCCCGGTCGTTAGAGCTGGGAGAAAGCCCTTGTCTCCATGACGGGGGGAGGGGAAGAGATTTCCCGGTCCTCCCGAGCCCAACGGGCCGAAGGTCCTCAGTGTAACCCGAGCCCGCGGGCTGATTCTTGGCCTTGTACCATTTACCTCACAGTCCCCAGGGTCTTCATTCGTGGTGTTTGAATCTGGAACGTAGTTTAGGGACAATAAAATTCTACTCCCTCATTTTCCCGAGGAGGAAGCCGAGGCTTATTTAATGAAGTCAAATAGCTTGCACTGGGAGTTTGGGAGAGTTAGGTTTTGAGCCCGGGAGTTCAAAGGTGAACCTTCGCAATTTAGATCTGCTGCTTCATCTGCAGTGGGAGAGCTGGTTAGGAGTCGGTAAGGCCAGAGTCCTTCCAAGCAGGGCTTTATTATCGTAAAAGCAGCTCAGAACACTGGTTGGTTGGGTGGAAGGGGAATGGGGACCTGCTTATGTCAGAGCTGAAGGAGGAAGAACTTAGGGAAATTTGCTGTGGCACATTGTGCCATGCAAGCAAAAGAAGACTTGCGCCTGCGCTGTACTGGGTCTTCCGGGTGGCTATCTTGAAATAGCTATGCTTTTACTCTCGAGAGTCCCTTCAGCATTACCATATTCATAAGATGTAAATGAGACCGACATCACTTAAATTACTATCGGGCATTGAGGAGTCTTACTGAGCTTGCGTGGTCTTGGGAAAGTCTCTAGACCACAGGGTCGCTGGTGATAGGGTGGTTTATGGAGTGGTGGGTTGCCTATTCAGCTTATGGGGGAAGTAGTTGTCTGCTCAGCATATGGGGCTAAGACTATAGGGGAAGGAGTTGCCTAATCTGGATATAGGGAGAAGATAGGGCTTCATTGCTCTGGGGAAAAAGTAGAATTTCTTGTTCCTACTCCAGATCCAGAAAGCAAGCAGGCAAGATTTCTTTTCTGATAACCACTGTCCCTTAGACAGTATGGACAGGGCTCTTTTTTTTCTTTTCTTTTTTCTTTTTTTTTTTGCAATTGGGGTTAAATGACTTGCCAAAGGTCACACTGCTAATACGTGTCAAGTGTTAGGTCTGAGGCCGGAGTTGAACTTAGGTCCTCCTGATTTCGGGGCGGTGCTCTAGCCACTGCACCACCTAGCTGACCCCCGACAGGGCTCCTTTTAAGTTACGTGTGTGTATGTATATGTATATATACATATGTGTGTGTGTGTATAGCCAGTCACCTAAATAAGTGTGTGTGTGTATATATATATATATATACGCACACACACACACACACATATATATATATGGACTTTTTTTTTCTTTTTTGGTCTGTTTTGCAGCATGGTTAATATGAAAGTGTTTTACATGACTTCATATGTATAATCTATATTGTTTGCCCTGTCTAGGAGGGGGATATTGTGGTAAGAGTGTAGAGAATTTGGAACTTAAAAAAATTTTTTTAATGATTTAAAAAAATTTACATGTAAGTAAGTATATGTGTATGTGCACATATACTAATTTAGGTGACTGGCTGTCACTCATTGATTTACCCAAAAAAGCACAGCTTTAAACAACAAAAAAAAAACTTGCACCAATATAAACCAACTAGTTTATGGTTTACTATACAGTTATGTTAGTACATTTGTAGGTCAGATCATTAGATTTGCCCATGGCACCAAGTCAGGAAGGATAGCTAACACATTGGTGGAGCCAGGATCCTAAAAGATCTTGGCAGACTAGAGCCTTGGACTGAATCTGATATAAAATTCAGGAGGGATGAATGTAAAGTCTTGCACTTAACTATAAAAATAAATCAACTTCACAAGTACAAGATGGAGGGAGCATGGTTAATTGGACAGCAGTTGTTCTGAAAAAGTTCTAGGGACCGAAAGTTCTATATGAATCATCAGTCTGATGTGGCCACCAAAAAAGCTAGTGAAATCCTGAGCAGCACTGAGAGCTTAGATTCCAGAAACAAAGAGAATGATGTTGATGTTCCTCTTTGTCCAAGTGTCATCTAGTACTATATTCATTTTGAGGAACGAAGGCATAGTTTAGGTAGGACTTTGACAAGCTGAAGAGTGTCCAGAGTAGGGCAACCATTGTTGTAGTTGATTGTCCATCTGGGAAGTAATGCTATGACATGCAAGTGAATTGGATTTAAGTGAGGGAGGGCTGTGAAAAGTCACCAGCCTCACTTTCTCATCAGGAGCTATCTGTGTCCACTGGCCAGATGCAGATCAGAACAACTGGAGATGGCCCTGGATGCAGTACAAGCAACCAGGATGATGAGGGGACCTTAAGTTTATATCATATGGAGATCCAGTGAAGGAATTAGGGATGTTTAGCATATAGAAGAGAGAAAACTCAGGAGAGACATGAGAGTGGTTGTCAAGTATTTGAAAGGTTGTAATGTGATTTGTTGGATTTATCCTTGGAGGTCAGAACCAGGAATAATAGATGAAAGTTTTGGAGAGTCAAATTTAGGCGGGATGTAAAAAAAAAAAAAAACAATTAGAGCAGTCCAAAATATGGAATGAACTGCTTGGAGATGTAAATTTCCCCTCTATAGAAGTCTTTAAGCAGAAGCTAGATTGCAACATGCTAGGTTGTTAGAGCATCCCCACTACTTCTTGGTAAAGGTTAGATTAGATGGTCACTGAAGTCCTTTTTAACTCTCAAATTCTATGATTCTATGATTCTTATCATAGATTTAAGGGCCTTAAAAATCCATTATAATCCAATCTCATTATTTTATAGATGAACTGAACTCCAGAGAGGTTAAGTAATTTGAATTAAGGTCCAGAGAGGTTGAAGTCAGAGGACAGCTATTGTTAGCATTGAATTTTAGACTAAAACATGAAATTTAGTATACAGATATAGATATCTATAGTCTATGATTCTCTCATGGATGCTGCTAACCCACGTGGTCCTTGAAAGTGAACTCAGTCCAAATCTAGGTCCTTGAATGTGGCTTTTTGACTGAGTCCAAGTTTTACAGAACAAATCCTTTTATTAAAGTGATTTATTCTGTGAAGTTTCGATTCAGTCAAAGGGCTGCACTTGAGGACCTAGAGGAACACATGTGACCTCGAGGCAGCAGGTTTCCCACCCCTGCTTTAACCCCTCAGTTTTTTGACCTTCAGTTTTCTCATTTGTAAAATGAAGGGTTCACTAGATGTTTTAAGGTATCTCTCAACATGATACTTTTATTATATTTGCTGAGGTAGCCCATGCATATCAGAAATGCTCAACTACTATGATGACTCTGTGTGTGTGTGTATACACATATAAATAGAAGATACTAACCTCATTAAAGGAATTGACAGAGTAGTTTGGAAAACACATTTCAGAAAAACATGTACCTACATATATATGTGTGTATAGTATCAATATAGATACTACATATACTTATGTATGTATATATAGATGGATAGATACTATAAAATCATATATAGCTACTATATATGCACACATACCTGTGTATATATGCACATACATATAAAATCAGTCATATATAAATATATGCACATGCTTAATACTAGTGCCTTCTTGTTGAGATTGTATTCAATTTATCCTGTATATATCTTGTTTGTATGTAATTGTTTATATGTTGTCTCCGCCCCTATATTTTGAGCTTTTTGAGGGAATGGATGTTTTTTTCCTTTCCTTCTACCCCTACTGCTTAGCATAGTACCTGGCTCACAATACACTCTTTGTATACGCTTGTTGACTTGACACACTGTCTTTTTCAAGATGAAGAATAATACAACTTTTTACACCCTACCTTTGTGTTGTATAAAATTTTTATTTTTAGGGTATTTTCAATAGCATGTTACATTTTTTTACAATTTCCAGGCCTTAGCAAATTTTCAACTATGTTGTTACTTTTCAAGTAAGCAAGCATATCCTGGATGAACTTTAATCTACAGAAATTTAAACACTTTTCTATTTACCTTTGAAACTTCAGGAGCTATTATACCATGTTCTATTGCTTAACAGGTATATAGCGTCTTTTTTCACCTTAGTTAACCGAATAATATACTGAACCCTACCCAGCAACTATCACTGAAGGACAGAAAGAAATAGAAGATACTACAATACCTGCAAAAAAGGAATTTACAGTGTAGTTTGGACAACAGAACACAGGAAAGAACATAGCAAGAACTGAAGCGCTTGATATTATAGAGTAACATGTTAGTAAGTGTAAGTTAAGATAGAATTTACAGTACATAACTATTGAGTAGTCATGTAGAGTTTAATCATGGAAGGTTTCCAAGAGGAAATTAGTTTTAAGGCATGTTCCAGAGGTGAGGGACATGAATTGGTGGGGGAGAGGCAATATGTGTGAAGATACAAAAATAAGAACTAGAAAGTTGTGAGAACTGAATATGGCTGGAGCTTCTGTTCTCCTGAGTTATATTTTTGGAGCTATAAGTGATCTTAGTGGTTATCTAATCTGTAGATGAGTACTTGCCCAAGATCGAATACATAGTAAGCATATCTGACACCAAAGCTAGCATTTTTCTAGTGTAATATGCTAGAGAATAGAGGTTAGTGAGGTACTGGTTGGTCTTGAATGTTATGGAGTCTACATTTGATCAAATACATCACTGAATGGGCGTTGCCTCAGACAAACTGAGACCTGGGAAAGACATTAGTTTAAAAAGGCCAAGGTTTCCCACTGCATCCTGGGCTATATCCAGCCATTCAGATCTATAATTTGCCACTGGACCCAGATGGTTCTGGAGCCGGTGACTTTGTACCACCCTGCCTCACTTAAATCTAATTCACTTGCAAGTCACAACATCATCTTCCCCAAAGTCATGGTTC